ATATATATATATATATATATTATTACAACACCATCCCAACAATTGCAAATACTCATTCACAAGTCTTTCAAACATGCCCCCATAAGGGTGTTCCACCATACTTGTCACCCTGGTAACTCCATCCATTATTTCTGCCTGTGCACCCATTTATATAGCTGATTAAATAAAGGTTGCTGACAAAAATCTATAATCTGTAACATACCCAGTAAGTTTCTGGGAAATAAGTGAGCTGTGCACTTATTGTCTCCTAAGATACTGTACATGTGTGTTAAAGCACTAAACAAGATTAGCAGTGCACCGTGATTATTAAGTGCCACGAAGGAAAGATGCTTATTGACACACTTATTTAGTCGTCCCATTATTTCATCAATGTTACCGTAGACCTTCAAGGGTGCCTTCCGGAAAATACTTTCTTTGTGCGCTGCATTAAAGAAAACCTCTTTAAACTATATATCATTCTAAAGCTAACAAATTGTAGAATCCAAAAATAACAATATATTTTGCCAATTTTTGTTTTGGTAGGCATGTGCAAGCCTTAAAACACAAAACTGACCATACTTGCTAACTAAATTACCAGCCTTTGTGCTATCATGGACATCCAAACTTTTTCAATATTTTTATTGGTTGCTTAGACAGTCCCTTTCAACGTAAAACAATAGAAAATTTTCTGACTGTTGTTACTTGATGGGACATCACAGGAAAAATATTTCAATTTTTGTAAAAGCTTCACACCATTTGGTGCGCTTATATCTGATGAACATTTTGGCCAAGTCTCGTGAAAATCTGATAAATCTACATATCCTATAACTTCATCTGAACAGAGATAATTCACACAAAAAATAAACCTCAAGTTTTCGACCTCAAAAGAAATTCACAGTTTTCACACCTCACTGAAGCGGTTGTCAATGCAGCCATGCCACCAACCAGTGACAAGAGACTTAGAACTCTCCAGAGTCTCGTGACGAAGAACGCTACAAGAAGGCTTCCCAGGAACAGTTGTTTATAATTTACAGGAAATATTACATCAGGAAAAGTGAAGTCTACCACGAAATATTCATCAGCTTGTAAACTGAATCAGCAGATACTTGGAAAAGAAGGAAAAGGAAAAAAAGAGAAACGATAGCGAAATAGTCCTTGAACAGACCTATTCAAAGAGCCAAATCGAGAGCGGATATTTATAGATTAAACTAAATGAGCGCTTGCTTTCAAATTTGGGAATGTGAAGACCGTACAAAATCGCCCAGTATATCACTTAAGACACAACTACAATTAACGAAAGCGAAGATTTCTGTGTGAGAAAAGGGACTTTAAGCAACAACAACGCGGACAGCAATGGGAACGCCATGAGATCAGGGAAACAGGGTGACATTCTGCGTTCAGGCCTGACGTGAGTGAAGCTCATTTTGCGTTGTTTGAAAACGTGAGTTTTCGCTTTCGTTTCCTCTGAGCTGTGTCAACGCTAAATAACCCGTGTTACTAATTTCGAGGAACTTTAATGCTTGTTTTCTCTCGTAATGTGAGATATTTCATTTTAAAGGAACGTCGAGAAATCTGAAGCAAACTCAAGCCAGTCGGCAAACATGTGAGTACCGTGAAATACCTTTTTGAAAGCTTATGTAAATAAAGACAACTTACACGAATTTCACTCGCAATTTTTCCTTTCAAGAAGTTTTCAAATGTCAAATGGCTCATTATGGTGAAATTCTAACACATTTAAAAGCGTAGACACCATTAAAACTTGTGTAGCTGTTTCCATTTTCAGTCGTAAGATCAGTGGTTTACTTGGATCTTTATCAGTCGGCACACTGCTGCTGATAATAAGTTCATTTACTTCATTGTACAACTCAGTGAGAAGGGGCAAGTTGCGTTTGTGGAAGCGAAATTTGGACAGGCACTCGTCGTCTTCAAACCATCGAAGTTATAATCAGGAAAGGAATCATAAGGTTGGTCGAGATCATTAGACCAGTTCAAATCGTACAAGAGTACAAGTTTGTCATCGTTTAACATGAAATTGCTGTGAAAATTGTTACTCCTCAACTCAGTGGTTGACACATTCTGATTATGGATAACTCGTTCGTGTTAAAGTTTTTAAACTATTTTTTTTTTAGAAAATCAATTTAGATTAAGTAGTAGTCTTGAATTTGGCATGAAAAAATATTTTGGACTAAATCTGCCCTTGAAGGTCTACAGTAGCCTCAACTCGTTTTATGGTTTCTAGCATTTTGGGATGCAGATGTGTGGCTCCAGAAAATGTCTGTACCCACAGGCCCTCAAGGAGGGTTGGGGGAGGGGGAGTAAAGAATAAACAAACCCATAATTTCCAGGATGGAGGGGTTCAAACCAAATAACCCAACATGGAAGAAGTACAGGTATTTTCTAGATCAACACAATCTGCTAAACAAAAAATGTACTCACCGTTGTCGGTTGAACTGTTACTCTCCAAGTCCTCCTCCTTCTCCTCCTCTTCCTCGATAGATGCTTCCTGATCTCTTTGATACTCAAGTAACCAGTCATTCATTTCTTTCTCCTGCCTGTTCATTATCAGTTCAGACAAACATGGATCACCTCCCATTTCAGTCCTATCTCTGTCAAGCTTTTCTTCCTCGGTTAGATACTGACCTATATACTCTTCGTAAAGTAAAGGAGACCTTTTTCTCATGTTCGCCTCGCTGAAATAATCCGAGTCTTTCATTAATCTCTGTAGACATTCGTAACGTCTGTTCCGGATTCCTGTTTTTGTTTTTTTACTATCAATGATATTTTTCACTTCTGCCAAGCGAAAGTCTATTTCATAATCTCCCTTCAAATGTTCAAAATTTCGAAGATCTTCTTCGGCAAGATACCTTCCAAATCGCATAAGAAAGGAGCTGGGTGTTCTCTCCAAAACCTCTTCCAAAATACCAACCTTTTCATCTAAAGTCAAATCAGGTTCACCTCTCTGCTGACTTTTTACAACAGCATCGCTCCTTGCTATTCGAGAAAGCATGCTTCTCACTTGATTTAGGTCTTCGTGGTTCTCAAAGCACGTCGCCATGTTTTCTTTTTGTCAGAGTTGGTTCCAGACTCCAGTCCGCACAAACCTTGTTTTTTTGGCGGAAATAAAATTGAAAATGAAAACGAAACGCGGGAAATTCCTTTCATTGATCAATAAATAATGATTTGTCACATGATGCTCACAGGATGGTGGCGTAACCGGTATTTTTGATATAAAATACTAACAGGAATCGGAAAGAATCTTTTTTCCGGCTTCTTGCCAGCGCGCGTACGAGAGGAATTTTAAGTATGGTCTGGAAATAAATAAAGGGGCGTTCACAACTGCCAAGCGTTCAGATGGGCCCGTTATGGCGTTTTCCTCGCGTATTGCCAAGTCTATTCCCCGGTATATTTTCCAACCTCTGCCCTGGGATAGGAATCATTATAGCAACAACCATTGCTAGTAACTTCATTTGTTTAATCCTCCGCGGAAAATAACATGAATTTCTCAAGAGTCAATGTACACATCATTTTACAAATTTTACAACAGAATTCAACGGCCGAAAATATTTACAAAGAATTGTCCTTACTTCTTTAACCATTGTTCAACTGCAACGGTGGCGTTCGCTTCTTAAAACCGACTACATAATTCACTTGACAATATGGTGGGCACCACCTACAACAAAATCTCTCCGACGAAAGAATTGATTTCCTCGCTCTGTAAGTATATCTAACCTGTATTCGAAAATTACATTAAATCATCGATTTTTCTTTACATGCGCCAAAAAAGAACTTTTTAAATAACGAAACAATCGCTCATGAAAGGGAGCGCCATTAATTCGTATAGTAAAACATGTTCACAACATTTGCATATTTTCGATCATTCACAACGAACAGTGTTCGCTTGGAGTCAACGTACATGCACTAACTGTAACTTCCTATGTAATAAGCAGTTTGAAAGTTCTTGCAGTATCAAAGTCATGTTTGATTCTTGTGTTTAACAGCAAGCAAAGTCAGAGTAATCCGAACAATCGTTTCACTCTCGCTAAATATTTCCTTCATTTTACCTTTGCAACAAAATAGACGTAAACAAAGGGACGCTTCCGTTGGGAATATTCATTTCGTTACTGATCTCATCTTCCTGCATAGCGAAAAGCTTGAAGCCACATTCTGTCTTTTTCACTTAACGTTGACATCGTGGATACACCAGAAAAGTTTGAAGCTCCAGAGATCGTGCGAGTTCGCTTTCTTCCTTTGGGAGGCATGTGCCATGTGGTCGGCTCTACGACGGACATACTGTCGATGGAGTCGATCGATTCTTCACTTGATGTTTGTGAATTTCTACACGAGCAAGGCTTTCCTTTCCTCCGACATCTTATCTTCTCTTTACGGATAAAAAATGGAAAACAGCCTCCAATAATAAAGAGAAAAGCCACCAGAATATGCGCCACAACAGTCATCTTCCGAACGTCGCTAACTCCCACCTCTCAAATGCAACTGAACCCGTAATAAGATGCGTCTGCTTTTCAATCGTAACTATACCGACCTTTGTACCAAAACGAACCAAGACTGACGCCACTACGTCATGTCAAAATTTGTTCTCTGTCGGGTAATGTCAGTATAGCGATAATTACAACAAAATTTGAGAATGAGCAATCGAGAAATGTGAAGAAATTCAAAAGAGTTTAGTGCAGGAGATAATTTTCAATGTATTTCACTCACGTCTAGCTTTCTTTTTGGTTTTATGATAAGTTTTTTTCTCGACAGGAAGTAAGCTCTCCCTGCCCTCCCCTAGTAGTGAATTATTTTTTCTAACCTAAATATAACTTGGCTAGTCTTGGCGGGAATTCTGTGACAGTCTTGTGACAATGAAACACAAGCGCGTGCTGTTCACGACTGTTATGATTCGTGCAATTTAATACAGGCAGAACAGAATTTATATTTTTAAAAACAATCGGGAGCAATGAGAGCTGCCGAAAATTTTGATCAGATCTCAGTTCTTTTCTTTAGGAGTATGATGTTGAAAGCCCGCTTTATTGTATTCCGTGCATTTTCGAGGGTATAACATTCTTTTCATTCCGAGATGTAATCCTGTTTCTATTATAATCGGCAGCATGACGTCGCTTTGTAAACCTCTGCTATTTCTGAGAAGGGGAGTACATTTCACTTTGAAAGGAATGGTTACCCGTGATTTTATAGCTTTCTAACTGATGGCAGGATCTTTAATTGGATGTTGTAAAGTTCATTTCATACATTGCCGGGGTTGGAACACTCCAGCTGGAACCTATTACCCGCCACTCATGATATTCCTGTTTTATTGGAACAAATACACAAACTCAAACGTCTTCGAATGGCCTTGTGACGCGAAAGCAGTTTTCACTTCCTTGTCTTTGCTTGCTCTATACAAAGTTCACTTCATGTCTCGTAATTTGCCTTTTCTCTAGTTTCAATGTTGAATTTCCAAGAAAACTTAGACTGCTGGCAGGCGGTCTTTACTCTAAAGGTTAATTAAGGGGCGGGGGGTGGGGGGCTGGGGATAGCGGTTGACTTTGAAAAATAACCTGCAAGCATAATTGAGCTTATACCAAAAAAATTCATCCACACAAACACTGCCGAAAAAAATTAACACTTTTTCAGTTAGTCAAAGAAGCATGTCACACAGACAATACAAAGGTACAGAAACGTCCCGAGAAAAATATCTTAGTGGAGGGACCAAAATCAACCTCAGGCACAGTTTATCACAATAAGGACCGACCAAGGCCGGCAAATAATATTCATTTATTAAAAACTGGATCACTGGATAAGGGTTTTCATTGGCTTATATTAGCCATCATGGTATATAAAAACAATAACCTCCATTTGGCGCGGAAATATGCTCGGATATTTTTACGCGGACATTATTATGGAGGCTATTGTGTTTATTGTTCTTCAAATATTTTTCGCAACACACGAAGTTTTGGAAATTGGGGAATATCACTTGGATTTTCCCCAGGTTTAGCTGGGGAATATTCAGTCACGTCACGCGTTTATAGCAATGGCGCGCGAGCGAAAATATTTTATGGATCATAACGTCGTATATTTACTGCGCTTTACAATAACAAGCGGACTCTAAATTTCAACGCTCAACCGACAAATGCGTTTTTCGCTACCGTCAATCAAATGTTCGGCGGCTCCTACAGCTTCCCACTACTGCCGAGCGCGCAGTAATCAAATCGTTGAGCACAGTTCAGACAACGAAACAATGCTTGGCAGTAGTCGGAAGCTGTGAGGAGCCGCCGAACATTTGACTAACGGTAGCGAAAAACGCATTTGTCGGTTGCGCGTTGACTTCTAGAGTCCACATTTTATTGAAAAGCGCAGTAAAACAATATTTCGGCCGTCTAGACCAGCCTTCTTCACACTGACGTGCAGCTAATCCCACTTGAACTTATCCACTCCTCACGTGATTCAATCAGAAAAGCCAGGGAGTCCTTCTTAATGGATATAGCGGGGACATTGGAATCTCACGGTATGAATAGACGCGATCAATCGTAAAACTTGTAACCTACATGGCGGACCCGTTTTATCTTTACTTTACTCAGTTTGTTTTGTCCGTCATTTCCGCCACTCCTTTCAGTTCGAAATACGTGTTACAACATCCACCACTAAATAATATACTAATTTCATTCTTATAATTTTATAACATCTAAACCTGAAAAAGGGTCTCTGTAAAATGAAGACCGGATGGCGGATGGAAAAATGCGGATGATAAAATACGGATGATAGAATACGGATGATGAAATACGGATGACAAAATGCGAATGACAAAATGCGGATGGAAAAATGCAGATGACAAAATCCATAGAATAGGAAATTAATTACAATGGCAGGAAGTAAAGTAAAGTGAAGATCGATCAATTCAACCAAAATTTTGGGAAATTTTGGTTTAAACTGAATGGATGGGCTTGATCCAACCGGAAAAGTTTCGAAAAAGCCGGGCCACCTTTCGAGGTGGACCACTTTTCTCGGTTGGGCCGGTCCTATTGAAATGGACCGTTCCATTGACCTTTCCGACCCATTCTAGATCCCAGTACCTCGCTGTTAGGTACTTTCCATCGCCCAGCTTTTATGGATTGTTAACAGTGCATTTATCGGTGTTACTCGAACATCCATCAGCAGTTATTATCACGTTTCGTTCTCTGCCCCGCTAATCCGCCTGTTCTGCAGACTACGTAGCTGTGGTACGCAGCGTATGTTTTGGCCGTTAAAAAAAGGGCTATTTCCCAAGTGGTGTTTGAATATCTGAACCAGCAAATATCTGGGAACAGTCTGCTCAAAATAACCCGTTGTACGTGTAAAAATTTCTATGCATGAAACAGCTCGCACAATATCATTGATTTAACAAATAAAGAAGCCTAAGCCGTGTATACAAACCGTGATAAAACGCGACGGACATTTGAGAACACGAGGGAAATGTAGAAAACACGAGCCGCAGGCAGTATTTTCTACATTTCTCAAGTGTTCTCAAATGTCCGGAGTGTTTTATAACAGTGTAATACACGGCTTAGGCTTCTTCATTTGCTTAAATGATATAGAGGTAATGTGGCGAAAAACAATAAAACACGCTTTTTCTATGTTTTACACTCTGATAAAACATGAGTTTTTGACCAATCAGAGCGCGCGCAGGGTACTATCTATATTACAAAGATTGTTATGATATAGATAGGACCCTGCGTGCGCTCTGATTGGTCAAAAACCCATGTTTTATCAGAGTATAAAACAACGTGAAAGAACGTGTTTTATTATTTTGGCCGTGTAAAATCTATATCATGCTGTTCAGATCCTTACCTACCTACCTACCTACTTACCTACCCACCTACCCACCTACCCACCTACCCACCTACCTACCTACCTACCNCCCACCTCTCTACCTACCCATCTACCTACCTACCCACCCACCTACCTACCCACCTACTCACCTACCCACCTACTCATCTACCCACCTACCCACCTACCCACCTACCTACCTACCTACCTACCCACCTACCTACCTATCTATCTATCTATCGGGGGACACCAATTTGGCCCCCCGAAAAAATTCTTCAGGGGCGAATGACGTCATGTCCATGTTCGTCCATGTGCTTTCTTTCGAGTTTTGCACAATATTGCGGACTTTCGTGTGTCGAGAAAGCTTATTGTGGACTGTAGCGGATACTGAAGATGTTGATTTAAAGTTCGAAGTCCGGCAATGTTAATGGCATTTTAAAACCTTGCAGACATGTCTTCATGAAATTGTACGACTTTTCGTATGAACAGAAAGCTGTAGTTTGGCTGCGTGTTGTGTACCCTCTTCTCTTCGACTGAAATCAATGCTGCTTTCTGCTGAATAAATCAAAGGAGGAAGTGAGTTTCACTTCGCTGGCCTAGATTTCTGTGCGCAAACTATGTAAAGTAAATCCAGCGAAAGTGTTTACATAGGAAATGACTTCAACTCCCACAGGGTTGCTTTGGTACACGAACGTGTCCTTCGTTTCATTGTTTCGGAAGTGAAAATGCTCTGTAGCTGTTACCCCAAAGCCAAGGCGATTCAAAGACGTGTTCGTAAACAAATTATTGTCCTAGTTTTGGTACTAAAAGCACGTCGTCTCGCATACCGACGGAACAAACATGGTTGGTGTCGATTTGCATGGTCACTATAAAATAAGGACTGCGGACTGCGGACTGCGGACTGCGGACTGCGGACTGCGGACTGCGGACTGCGGACTGC